CCAAATCTGTTTAGGACTTTTAGATGTCAACGCCAAATGAGCAGAACCCAGAAACAGACTAGGAGTTGGTGCAGATGAAAGAAGCACTGTTGTCACAGGACTATAACATCAACAATGCCAGTCAGTAACCTAGCAACCATATCTTGGAACAAAGTTTCCAACCTCTTCTTGAAGGTACCCCCCATGCACAGCACACTGCAGTAATCCAACAAGAAACTATGTGGAGAGCACCTGTTTAAAAGCTCTGCCTTGATGCATTGCAAATGGAAATTTGCATTAACAACTGTGCCCTGCTCTTCTTCAGAACTGTGAACTTGTAATTCATAACTGGCCTCCCATCTAGGTACTGTATTAACAAAACACAGAACTAGAGCTTATAAACACTGTAGCTATCTAACCAGACACTTTTAAAGTAACAAGCAATTAACAGGTAGCTGCTACATTACAGTACAAGTAATATAATAAGTAGTTACATAGTTTAGGTGTCACAACTAGCATTTTCTTGCCACTTTCAAGTTACTCTAAAAGGGCACTATAAGATATGATACATTTTTCTGTTGAAGCAGAGAAAGTAATTTTTTATTATCTCTTTTGTTTTTGTAAATCTGCGCAAGATGCAGTATCTCATTTGGCTTCTAGAGGGAACAAGAGGTATTCCCAGTGTTTTCTGGCAATGATAACACAATGATTTAGCAGCAGACTGGGGGGTTGACAACCTCTGATTTAATCAACTGGGACAATGATAATGATAAGGACTACCTGACTGCTGAGATGCAATAAGTGATGCAGCAGGTTCCTCTTCAAAAGTACATTCAGAGCTATGTGCGGAACTGCTAAACTCTGAATGCATGACCACATGCAGGTTTACTCACAGTTAAGCCCTGCTGCTTTGTTCATGAGAGCTGATTCCCAAATGTGTGTGAAACACTATAGCCTTAGCAGTGGAGTTACATCAGACTGCTAGTTTGCATCTGTCTCTATAGAACAATCACTGAGGAACATTCATTGCACCATAGCACATTATTTCCATATGTACTCACCTTAAGCATGATTATTCAAAGGTAAGGCCCACCTTTTTCTAATTCCATATCTAGCTGCAACCCCATCCCACAAGGTTAGGCTAGCTAGAAGCATTAATTTTCGATAAACTAGCCCTCCCAAACCAGAAGTTTTAGATGGCAACTCCTGTCATTGCTGACCACTGCACATACTAAGGATGTTGGGAAATGCAGTTGCAAACATCTAGATGGCTAGCCTTATGAACAGAATGAGCATCTAATTCATGTATTCTGTACATATATTCCCTGCCCTTGTTCTGTGACAGAACACCAGGCTGGATGAACACGATAGTATATACGGAACCATGGATTCAGTAGCAAGTTGTTTCCTAGGCAGCCTCTCATCCAAGCCACTACCAAACTCAGCCCTCCTGTGCTGTGCCATCAGATCACAACCTGGGCTAATTTATTTGGCCATGTCATGAGAAGATTCCCTGGAAAAGACCTTGATGTTGGGAAAGTGTGAAGGCAGGAGGAGAAGGGGACGACAGAGGATGAGGTGGCTAGACAGTGTCATCAAAGCTACCAACATGAATTTGACACAACTCCGGGAGGCAGTGGAAGATAGGTGGGCCTGGCGTGCTCTGGTCTATGGGGTCACGAAGAGTCGGACACGACTAAACGACTAAACAACAACAAATAAGTCCATTTAACCATGACTTTAATAACAACTAATGAACTAAGGTTCATTGAGTGCTGAAATAGCTCACTAGGTTGGAGTTCTTGGGTGCAGAGCCAGTGACTGGGAGCCTGAATCCCCTCTGCACCTCCCAGGAGAGGCCCCAGCCAAGACCACCTGGAGCATGTTGTGGCTGATGGGGTTATGGGTCTGCTAGGTATAAAGTACTTAAAAAAAAACTAAACAAACACATGGCACCCCCCTTTTCTGGTGGCATTCTGAGATTGTGCAGTCTTGGGCAGGCTGCACAGTCTCAGAGTGCCACCAGAAAAGGGGAGTGCCATGTGTTTGTTTAGTTTTTTTTTTAAGTGCTTTATACCTAGCAAATTCCCAGTGTGGTGCAGCAGGTAGAGTGACAGACAAGAACTCCGGAGAACATTCCTGCTCAGCTATGGAAACTGACTGGGAGAGTGGAAACTGGTAAAACCACTCCTTAAGTATCTCAGTTACCTAGAAAGCCCTATTAGGGTCACTATAAGTCAGTTCTGACCTGACAACACGAAACACACACACACACATAGCTAGAAAATCCTGGTAGGATCACTATGTATCAGCATGAACTTGATGACACATAATTATTAAATAGTCACTAACTTATTTATGGCTGGACAGTGTCATCGAAGCTACCAACATGAATTTGATCAAACTCCGGGAGGCAGTGGAAGACAGGAGGGCCTGGCGTACTCTGGTCCATGGGGTCACGAAAAGTTGGATACAACTTAATGACTAAACAACAGCACAGTAAATGTAGATGTATTAGGGCTTTAGGGGTACATACTACCATCCTGAACTGAAACTAGAAATGAATGAGGAGCCAGGAAGCTCTATTAGAATGGATGTAATACAGATTACTGCCCTACATCACTGAAATATCTGGCAGCTGCTTTCTGGATGAATTGAAGTTTCTAAACAATCTTGAAGAGGCAGTCTCATACATAATGTACTGCAGTAACACATCCAAGTTACCAAGTACTACGGAGGAGAAAGACAGAAGAACACAAGTGGAATTGTTAGTCCAGGAATATTTTGTCCGTATGGGTGTTTCAGGGAATGTTTCATTTGAGCTGTAGATTTCACAACCTATTCTATAATTCTGTTTAAGTTATTCAATGTAAATATTCTCATCAAATAATCTACACCCTCTGAGACAAAGGCACGTTTATATAAAGGCCTAAAATGGTCAGTATTGCACATCCCTTTTCTTAAACACATTTGAGGGAAGAAAATAGTTCTCTGTTTGATAAGTTAGTCTATCAGGAGAAAGATATAACAGACTATATTCTGATATTAATACAATTCAGTATTTTTCCCACCACTTACTTACTGTTTCCAAGGTTCTAGATCAAATCTAGCCTGAATTCTCTTTGAAGGGAAAAATGATGAAACTAAGGCTACTATACTTTGGGCACAAGCAGGCAAGATTAGACAGTACTGATGGGGAAGGTTGAGGGCAGCAGGAAAAGAGGAAGACAAATGCAACTGACTCCCTTAAAAAAACCCCACAGACTTGAGTTTGCAAGAGTTGAGCAGGTGTGTTGAGGACAGGACATCTGGAGATCACCCATTCATAGGGCGGCCATAAGTCAGAAGCTACTTGACGGTATGTATGACTATCAAGTCTGGGGGCCCCTGGTATATAACAACAACTAACCTAAATACAAATGGCATGAATGCAACAAACAAGTGTTTGCAAAATACGTATTGACACTATTGTCTTCAAAGAGCCTTCAAAGAGCTCTCCGTGGCAGATCTATAATGACCAATGCATAACACATCTAACATCTCTCAGCAACCAAGCTATTTAGTATGTTGAAATCACCATATCTCCTAACAACCTCTACAATATTTGGATTGTTGTTTCTGTGTTCCTTTTTCAACAGGTGCAAGGCTTCATTAAGATTGACCATTTATTTAATGGCTGATTAGAAATGTGAAGTATGCTTTCAAAAACCAACAGACCACTCTGGATTTCCATTGGAGCAGGGGTAGTTAAAGATTATGTAATTTAAAAGTTTAGAGCATACAAAAATATGTCAAGTAACATAGCTTGGACTTTGAAAATGGCCAGTGCGATCTTTTACTGCAGGAGAGGTGATGGGAAGAGCAAGCTATGCAACTGAATAACAGGCCATTTTGTTATTCCTACTGTTATAGTTAAGTCATTTAATTCATACTTCTAGGCATTTGGGCTAGATACAGAGCTGGCCAAATGGTTGTCAACAATCATTGCTTGGTAGAAGCTAACAAGATTTTTTCCAAGACTATCTCATGGATAAATTTCCCCATCTAGCCATTCTTCCCTTGCCACATAGTATCACTTCATACTAAATAGGTGTTATTGTTACAGCCAGTTTTCCATCACCTTTTTAAATACAGTGGGAAGAGTCTTAAAATGATGCAGAAATTTAAATCAACAATTTGTGGCCTATTTAATGCAAAGCTTGACCTTTAGGAGAGTACGCATTAAAGCCCAATGTATGTTTGCTAGTAACTAATTCTCATTGCATTCTGTGCAGGTGAATATGTACAATAATGCAGCCTGCGTCTCTTTGTTGGTAACAGGTAGCATTAGATGGTTGGAGGTATTAAGGGCTGAACACAGCCCTTAACAATACACATACTGTTTTGATGCAATATTGAAATGTGTGAGGCAAATGAGGTGTGAGAGGTGGTGATTTGTCTAAAGTGTGAGTGGAAATTTTAATAGGGTTTCCCACACATACAAGCTCAGCATAAACAGTGAGCTACCCTTAGTAGTAAGATTTTAACTGCTGGGTATCTTTGTGGTTTAGGTATCTGGCTGCAGAGCCAGAAGTTAGGAGTTCGATTCCCCACTGTGTCTCTTTGACAGGGGCTGGACCCCAGGATCCATAGGGTGCCTTCCAGCTCTGCAGTTCTAAGATGAAGATGAAACGCTGACTAGGCCAACAACATCCCCCCCAAAATCAGGTTAGAAGTGCTGGAGCATTGTAAAAAAAAAAAACAAGAACAGCGCATTTTAAAGTCACCCCATTCTCGGCTGACGGGGCAAAGTGCACACAAATCCCTTAATGCACTCCTTGGGGTGTAGGTGAAACTTTAATTCCCACCAGATAAAATCACTTGCACAATGCTGACGCTTACGCCCCATTGCCTGCTGTTCCATCTTTCCCCAAACATGCTTTCGCAAGTTCCGATTCAACTTAAGACATTGCAAAACCTTGGCTTCTATTCATCCTCACACCCCCCCGAGCGCAACTTATCAGGGTTGGACCACAAAACACCTTCAGGAAGAGGGAAGATCCAGACGAACAGCGCTTGCGGATGCGTTAAACGGGGCAAGAGGAGAGGGAGCGGATGGGCAGGTTTCTGCCAGCCGACTTCTCTCTCTGTTCTCGGAGGGGCAGACAAACCCGGAGGAAAAGGCAGGGGCCAGCGCCGAGGCGGCTTCCGTTTTGTAGGTCAGGCCCGGAGCACCTCGGCGTCCCTTGTCTTCCATCCGGCCTGGCGGAGCCGCGGCGCAGCCTTAATCCGCTCACGGCCGCTCCCACGTGTTCCTCCCGGGGCCCCGGGCAACGTCAACCACCACTCGGAAGTGCCCACGGCTATCCGGCGATTCCCCACCAACCCCGCCGAGAGGAGCCGCCCCGAGGAACAGAAGCCCCGCTCGATGCCGCGGCCGTGCGCCCTTGCGCTGAGAGCGGGGCGCTGGGACCGCGCGGAGGGAAGCGCGCTTCGGGCGCAAAGCGCGAGAGAACCGAGGGAGGAAGAGGAGGAGGAGGGGGGGTCCGAGGCTGCTCCCCTCCCGGGCGCGCCCTCGGCCCGTTCCACAGAAAGCCACCCTCCTGCTCCCTAGGTGTGCCCTGCGACCCCGCACGCCACCCTCCAGCAACGCATCACCTCCAGGGTAAAAGCCGCCCTGTTCTGGCTCTCCTCTAAGTCCAAATAAAAAGGAAAAGAAAGAAATCATTCTCCCTCTAGTTCAGAAAGCGAGGCGGGACCGTTTCTATCCTGATTGCCTGCAGCTGGTCCTTTCGCTCCCACGTTAAAGCCCCACCTCAGAGGCGCTTCCTTTTGCCTCAGCGGCTCCACCTGTCCCCCAAATCCCCGCCGCCTCCCCCCAGCTCCCCGACCTTGTTCGGCTGCCAGTCTCTCTGCGAGCCCCCCCAGGAGAGAAAACGAGAGAGACGCCGTGCCACAAGCCCCCTCCTCCAGGAGAGTGAGAGAGGCAACAGGTCTGGGTTTTCCCGACTGTGGACGCGTCCCGAAGCTGACAGGGCTCTGGAAATGGAGGCGGCGGCGGCGGCGGCCGCGCGTCTGTCCGGCGCCCCCGCGTGCCTCGTTCTCTCCTGACGAGGGTGGGCACGGGCGGGAAATCTGACCCACCGCTCACGAGAAAGCGCCCCGTCTAGATATCTATGCCAGACCGGCCCTCTCCAGAAAGGAAGCCCAAGTTCAGCGGGTAGGAGACTCCCGCTCGGGCTGCCTGAAGCCAGAGAGCGGCTGACGCCGCCACTTACCCCTCGGCCCCGGCGCGCAACTCCCGCCTTGCTCCCGCCGTGCCAGCAGCCAGCCAGCAAGTGCGCGAGGAAAAGGAAGCCGCGCCGGTTCTCTCTCGGCGTGGCTCGGCCCGGCCCAGCCCAGCCCAGCCCAGCCATGCGCCGGCGGCTAGTTGTTCTGAATCAAAAACCCTATCGCTCGATGTTTTTATTTTATTTTAATGCCATTCTGGGCTTCTTCTTCCTTGAAAGGATCAACTGTGATCAGGGTTCCTAGGTTTAAGCACGGAACTTAGCATTCATCCCATGTGACCCAGCACCCAGAAAGTGAGATTTCTTCCAGCCACACCACCACAATCTGTTTCCTTTTTTGAAAGCTTAAGCAGGCGAAGGAAACGCGAAAGAAAGGTTTGCCAGAGGCGCCTTTCCCCAAACAGGACTGCCATCCCGGAGGTGGAAGGGATGCCGAAGGGTTAGAGGCGAGGCAAGAGAGCCCCCCATGGGTCGCCTTTGGCTTGATCTCTCCCCCCCCACACATTATGACAAATTCCAATGTTTCCAAACATTTTTATTACCCAATTTATGCGGCAAGGATTCACATGCGCGGGATTAAGTGGGATAAAAGAATTATGAAGACTATTCCTGTAAGGATAAAGGAAAATTGCTATAAGGTAATATGGAGGTGGTATTTAACGCTGGTAAAACTGAATACAATAAATAAAAAATTCTCATCACTATGTTGGAGGTGTAAAAAAGAGAAGGGGACGTATGGTTATGTGGTGGTTATGTGAAGTAAGAAAGAATGGGAGCAAATTTTCAAAGAAACAAGGGGCATAACTGGATTAAATATTCAGATGTCCTGGTTAACAGCCTTATTGAATATGGTCAAGGAAGATCAATTGCTGAAAGAAATTAAGGATTTGATTGTATAAATGGTTACAGCAGCCAGGTTAATATTTGCAAAAAAAATGGAAAATAATAATCAAATTAATTTAGTGGAATGGTATAAAGAATTATGAGATATGGCAATTAATGATAAACTGATATGTGAAATAAAATAAGAAGAGGTTTATAAAAATGATTTTAAGGAATCATTTAATGGAATGTATTCCTGTAATATGTATTTCGGAGAGGTAAGGGGTATATGCCAAGAGAAGAAACAATGAATTTTTGGAGAAAAAATGGATTGGATGAAATTTTAAAATATTATTAATTTTTATTTTATTTATTTATTTATTTATGTATTTATTTAACTTATATGCCTCCCACTCTACCCAAAGGTCTCTGGGTGGCTTACAACAATTAATATTAGCCCTGAGGGTGAAGGTGGCACTGGTGTATTATGTAATTGTTTTTTATTATGGTGTTAGGTTTATGTTGTCTATGTTTGATGTTCATTTAATTAAAAAATTATATATATAAATTTTACAATGTTCTAATATTTTTTCTATTACATGCTGATCTTTTATGACTCTAATATTTGGTCAGTTTTCTTTCTGTTCAACTGGCACCATCATCATTATTAATAGCCTGGTGCAGGTGAGGCTGTAGCTGACACGGGGATGGACTTTTTGGTAGAAAACCCAAGCTCACACATTTTATTATGTGAATAATATTACACTTAGCCTGAGGGTTCAGATACCATGCAGTGCAATTCCCATGTACAGTATATTGACTGGGAATTGATTACCACTGCATTCAGTGTAGCTTACTCCCAAATAAGTGTGCATTGGAAAGCACAGTAGTCTGCCTTCTGTGCCCACTTGACTTTGTTCAAGTCAAGTGTACACAGTAGTTAATAAATATGTCTGATTTTTGCTAAATTATGGACAGCTTCCGGAGTGTTCAGAAAGTTAACACAAAGTCTTCCATGGTAAATGTGCAAGGGCATAAAGTATACTAATATAGGTGTGAAGTAGTCTGTTCTTCTCTGCCCTTGCAAAGGAATTGTGTTTGTCTAACTCCACCCCCCACCCCACCCCATTTTCTTAGGTTCACCTTGGTGACAGCATCAAGGGAAGAATGGAGTTTTTTTCATGGCAGCAATGAAACACTATGACAGACAATAATTTGGATAACTAGTGAGTGGAAGTTTCAACATAGATTCCTAGTGCTGAAATTCAATATAGCCAACTGCTAGGTCATTATAGCTCAAAGAGACAAGATAATTGATAAGACAATCAAGTGAGAAGATTTTCCTTATTTACTTCCTTCATGTATTTCTATAACACCACTGTCTGTGTTATTCCTTACTTGGAACAGATTCTAACTACATGTTCTCTGTAGTTTGTCCTCTGAGGTATCATTATTGCTTACAACAACACTTCCCAAAATTGCAGCCAGTGTGTTCCCCAAATGAGGGACAGTTCATTGTTTCAAAAGGGGGGGGGGTGTTCTCCATTCAGACCACAGACTGCCTTTGCTCCATACAAAAGTGAATCATGCAGAAATGTGGTGAAATGACTGAAACATGAGACTGGTTTGCTCACCATCCTGCTCTTACATTGGAGATGAGAAACCTGTGGTCACCCCTATTATTCCTTACTACCTGGGCTGGTGGGAGATGAATTCTGATAACATCTGAAGAATCATAGATTAGCCGCCCTGTTCCTAAAAACTTCTTCATGGGAAAAATAATATCTTATCTGTCTGTGCAAATACTACTGCTAGAAAGGTATTATTAAAAGTTGCTTGAGCAAGTACACACAAGTACTCCTAGATCCCACACAACAGTGTTGAATGAGGCTTTCACAATCTACACTGCTATATTCTAGTTTGGTAGATTGTTTTAAAGCCTGCTCTAAAAGCCGAGGAAACTTGCTTAAAATCGCACTATGTACCAAAATGTAACAGTATCCCCACCTACGTTTTTTAAATGCTTCAAGATTCTCATTCAGAACTGGCTTATCCTGTTCATCACAAGACTGATGAATGAGATGAAACTTCATTCATCAGCCTTGATTAATGAAACTTCATCATTCAAAGGCATGATTGCAGTTTAAAGTCACTACTCTATGTATGCCGAATCTTTTAAGGTTTAAGTGGGACAAAGCGTGGAACAACGGAAAAGGTTTCTGAACAGTGGACATCTCACAAGTGATCAACTCTTTCCTTCACTATCCTTTTGTTTGTTTTGTCCCAGCAAGATGGAACAGATTTAGAATGCCCTTAATAGGGTTTCCAAAGTAACTGAGACATTTAGGGGTGGTTTTTCCAGTTCCGCTCCTCCAGTTAGTTTCTATGGCTGAGTAGGGATTTGAACCCCAGTCTATCACTGTATCCACTATATCAGACTTGGTAGCCTTTTGTTGAACAAGCTATAAAAGAAAGAAATATATTTGTACTCTCAAATGGAGGATTATTGTTGACATAATAGCTTAAGTAATTCTTGACGATTCTAACCAATTTCTCTAAAGATCACTCCTTTCTCTAAAGCAGAGATGGGCAATTGTGGTTGGACTGCCGTTCCAATCAGCAATAGCCAGTGTAGCCCATCCTTAGAAATGCTAGGAGATGCATCTGACAAATGGCATTTGGTTACCCCTTCTCTAAAGATGGGCACCCTCTGTAAGAGGAAAAGCTGTCAAGATAGTGTGCCATGATTCCTGCACAGTTAGAACATTGCACCTTGACATGTCCATCACCTTCATTGCCATTGCTACGTCCAGTAGCTTTCTTTCTAGCTGGGTATGTTACTTGCATCTCCTACAGCAGGGGTCCCCAACCCCCAGTCCGCAGCCAGGTGATGATCTGTGGGCTTACTTGAACTGGAGAGCAGACACGGACCTCCACCTGCATGCTTGGGGGGCGTGTTGTGCTTGCAGAGGGGCGTGTGATGCCTGCGAGCATGACACGCCCACCCGTGAGCATGGGGGTGCCCCGGCCCCCTTGTGCACGGAGTCCTCACCCCCCAACTGGTCTGCGGTCTAAAAAAGGTTCAAGCGGAAAGAGCCAAGGAGCTGTGAAATCCTCACGTTCGCCTTTGGAGCTCACGTAGGAACCAGTTTATTTTCTTTCACTGGTTCTTTTGTTTGTTTGTTTTTGTTCCGTCAAGCCACTGTAGCCTCTGGACCGTCCTGCCTGGTTTTGGCCCTTCCCAAGCAAAGGTGATTCTGCAGCCTGGAGGGAGCCAGCGAGCCCACCGACAGCCAGCCAGCCGGCGAACTCCCTCGCCCGTCGCTGCAGTCATGCTGGGGCCGAGCACACGAGCACCACTCTTTTGAATGATCCCCGGATGGTGCGTGCTCTCCTTGCTTTGCAGAGGGAAGGACGGTGAGAGAGCACAAGGGAAGCAGGGAGGGTGACTCTTTCTCTCTCTCTCTGTCCAGCAGCAGCAAGAGGAGGAGGTGGGGAGGGTTCGCTTTGGAGAAGCAAGGCAATGAAGGAGTCAAAGAGGGAGCCCAAAAGAATTCACCTCAAGAAGCGAGTGGCACAGTTCTGACGGCAGGCGAGGCAGCCAGAGTTGGCATGCAATTCCTCAGCCCCCCCCCCACTTGGGGTTTGGCATTGCCAAAGAAACAGAGGCCCCTCTCCAGGAGAACCATCACCACAGGACCCCAGCAGGCTCTTTTGAGCTTTTCCTTTCTGACTCCTCGGGGGTGCGGAAGATCAGCTTCTCTTTTTTGTATGTTTGCGCCCGCATCCTTGTAAGAGTGAGGAGGGGCAAAAAATCCCAGCAAACTGCCTGAAATGGGGTGATGAGGTCACCCGCGAGCAACAGACACTGCCCTTGAGTCTAGTGCGGGGTCTTTTAATTTTTATTTTTTTGCACCTGGGAAGCCCTTTTCAGATCTTTTTGCAAGCAGAGCGACTTCCAGTTTTATTTTATTTGCAGCTATCCAGGAGAAGAATCCCTGCCCCCGCCTCCATCTCCTTTCTCCCCCCTCTCCAGCCCACAACCTGTCACCTTCCGGGGGAATCTGAAACAGGCGAGGCAGGATGTACCAAGACCACATGTAGGTAAGCTGCATCAGGGCTCGCTCACCTGAGGACATAGAGAATAGAGAACAGGGGTGGGGGACAGGTTGCCTCTTCACCTCTGTGCAACAGGTGACTTGGGTGCAAGGGAGCCTCCCTTTGCCCGGGGTGGGGGACTCGGAGATGCAAGCTGGAGGCTGCAACTTTGCAAGCCACTTTCAGGGGTCGGGGTCCACCTGCCCCTTGACTTTGACCCGGTAATCCTCCCGCCGGGTCAGTCACGCCCCCATGCCCCTCCAATGACGGATGCCGGCAGTGGCAGCCCCTCCAGTCTTTGGAAGAACGGTCTTCAACAAAACCAGTCCCTGGCATTAAAAAGGTTGGGGACCACTGCCCTAAACAGCTTGGGTCCCGGATCTCTGAAGGACCACCTCCTTCCATAGGAACCTACCCGGCAATTAAGATGTAGCCAGGGGGCCCTTTTGAAAGAGCCGTCCCTCAAAGAGGGAAGAGGGATCCTCAAAGAGGTAAGAGGGATGGCTTGTAGACAAAGGGTCTTTTCAGCAGCTGGAATGCCATCCCAAGGGAGATTCGTCTGGCACTGACATTGATGACATTTTGGTGCCAGGTCAAAACCTTCCTGTTCCGGAAGGCTTTTAATTGAAACAATATCAACTGTGGGTCCTGATGGCATTTTTAGAGTATATATTTGAATTGTATTTTAATTGTCTTATTTTTTTATTGTTGTAAACTGCCCAGAGACCTTTGGGTAGAGTGGGCGGTATATAAGTTAAATAAATAAATAAAATGCAATTTTTTGGAAAGCAGAAACTGAATGGCTGCTTAGATGGGGACGATGCTGGTATAACGCAGCGAAACTGGGATAACACAGTTGTAGATCTTCTACTGAAGAGGGATGAACTTGATCATCTCTAAGAGTCCCTCTGGGCCATCTCAGACCCTCTCAACTGATGGAACACTTTTTTTCTTCCAGCGTTTCCACCTCCTCGTTAGCAGCCCTCTTCAAGGACGAGCACCCACCTCTGCAGATTCGGGAGTAATTCGGGAGAAACCAGGGGATGAGGAAAAGAGGAAGGAAAGAAAGAAAGATGAGAGGGAGCATTAAAGATTGGAGACTAAAAACAAACAAACAAAAAACCAAAGCAGGGTTAACCTCTTCTTGCATTTACCAAAGCCGTCTCCCTTAAAGCGATCCTTCCATCTGCTTCGGCCCAACCCCCCAAAAAAGTAATAGCTCAATAATTGGGCCAAAAAGATCCAGTTTGACCATGAATCTGGGTCAGGCTGGAGTGCATTTCCCCGCGTGTCCTGTGACAGCTGGGAAACAGCACTGCGCTGCTCCACAAGTGGAACAACCTGGAGATTCTAGTCCTCAAGATACTCAATAAAAGGCTATTTGAATGGGAATAGAGGACACTGCCTTACACCAAAGGCGCCGAGGGTCCACCTCACCTTAGGGTTACTATCTCAGATGGCAGAGAGGGTGTTCACAAATCGGAGAAACCACTGATCTGGGAGATGGGACAGGAAACAGGGGTTTGTTCTCTTGCCCATAAACCCACCCACACCTACTTGGCTCCCTCTTTTCCCCATCAAACAGGAACAGGAATACTCACTGCATCACTTCGAGGTCCAGATCTTCCACCAACTTGTTGTTCTTATCGGGCAATTTCTGGAGGAGCTGCTCTTGCTGCTGCTGAAGCTCCATTTTGAGCCCCTCTGCACTGTTGGGAGACAGAAATTGGAAGAAAGGCAAAAGAAACAAAATATTAATCCTTACGAATGACCCAATTTTCCACTATTCCAACCGCTTTCAGGCTTCACTTGGCTAAGATTCCTCCCGCTTCTCTGTGGAGCCGTGGCATTTTGTCAAATTGAACAGAACAGTCAAATGACTGAAAAGTGTTGTGTGTTGTTTTTAAAACAGGATGCAATCATGGCAACGACCACCATCATTTGAAATAAAGATTGAATCGCAAGACAACAATTCAAAGCCAAGTGTAGCATAAGAAAAGGGAAAAAAGAAGTAGAGAATGTTGGAGTTATTGCAATCTTGCATGCTGCCTTTAGTAGGCGTGGCTGGGAGGGACTTTTCTAGGCTGAGATTACCATCAGCAGTAACCAATCGTCCCTTCCTGCCTCTGAATTCAAAGCCAGCTCCGCCTCTCCTTGCTCAATTCTTTTCCCCGCTCTGTTGTCTGCTAATAGCAGTCTGTTTTGTAGTCTGTTGTTGAAAGCAGTCATGTTTGTCAGTTTGCTATTCAAAGGTAAGTAATTAGACCTTTTATTCTTTCTCCACCTAATGTCTGAGAGAGAGTTATTGAGATTACAGGTGCCACTTAGTGAGAAAAAGGGGTGGCCTACTTTGGGGAATGTGAAGCTATTCTGCTCTGTAAATCCCTGCACTTTTGTGGCACAGCTAGAAGAGTTAACCAGCATTCAAAACTCTGCAGCAGAGAAGAGTTACAAAAGAAAATGGTCTCTTATCATGCTGTGCGCTATGACAGAAGAAACACTGAGCACTAGAACATAACAAATTGTCCCTCCTGAGCTTCCATCTCCATGACTGCTTGCAGCTCTTCGTTAATGTGTTTGAAACACCTCTACAGTTCCTGCTCATTTGTCGTGGAAAAGGAAGGAAGAGGATGAAAAAGCTTAGAGGGAAAATCCTCCAACAGGGTCCTGAGCAAAAACCCACTGTGGGGCAAATTCAAAAAGAAGGGAGGGAGGCCCTCCCCCTTCTGCTCTGGTTTACTCACTCATCTTCATATACTCACAGCAGGGGTTGCTGGTCCTGGAAGCGAATATCTCCATCAGTCTCGGCCCCCAGGCCACGATCCTCTGATTCAGGAGGGTCTTCTGGACAAGGCAAGAAAGCCCCAGAAGCACCTCCACAAGCCTCCCAGCTGGCTTTAGGTACAAATTGGGACTTTTCATGTAATTTCTTCAGATCCACCAGCAGGGACACAGCTCCGTCTGAGTGTCCCACTTTGCTGCTTTCTGTGGCATCTCCACCACAGGGCTTGGGGGCTCGGGGAGCACCCAGAACTTTTCCACCCAATGTTTGGGCACAGGAGGTGGTGCCCTTGAGGATGATGGCAGCTGTGATGTTCTCACTGTTCCCGCATCCCTCCAGGTGGGTGGGGCAGCCATGGGCATCTCCACCAGGATGAGACGGTGGTTGTCCTCATCCCCACCATTGGCCTGTTCCTCTTATGCTCTGGCTAATTCCTCCAGTGGTGGCTCATCACAGAAAACATTTGTAGGTGGGGTGGGGGGTAAGGGGCAGATCATATTGGAATTTCTCCCCATTGGCCTTGCCCCGTGAGCCATGATCCTCTGGTTCAGGAGACAGGACCGAGAATGCTGAATCGGAAGGTGACCTCACGGGACCCCGCTTCACAGGTGACCACAAGAGGGTCATGCTTAGGAAGAGTTGGGTCTTCCATCAAACCCTCCACCACTGAGTCTTGGGGCCAAGAGGGAGAGGGGCCCCTTTCTGTCAGACTCTGGCCCCCTAAGCTTTCGTTTGGTGGGCAGTCTGGGGCCACAAACATGTTGAGATGGTTCCCAACAGGTTCAGCCATCTCTGGCACAGGGCTGGGGGGCTCAAGGGCTGATGGCAGCTGTTCCAGCCGGTGGTTTGGCTCCAGAGGGGCCTCCAGGGAGGATGATGGGAGGAATGATCCATCTGGGGCCAGAGTTGGTGACTTGAGTGGGCTCCTAATTGTGGGAGAAGCACCACGTCTGAAATCTTGAAGGAAAAAAAACCACACCTTGTTACAAGATGGAGGGGGGGAGACGTGGCTTGAAGAGAAAACTTGGTTCAAGGGACTTCAGTCTTTCCTGCCTTTTTTTTTACCTGGACTCACCTTTCTCTTCCTCCTCAGGAGGATTGTCCATCTCTCAAGTACATGAGTGTTGAACACTGTGAGACATAGCAGTTTCTGATGGAAAACAGGGACGAATCGCAGGATTGACTCTGCGATTCCTTCATGCTGGCTGTCTCTCAACAGAGTAACTGTTGATCCCCCCCCTGAGTAAACGCTGTTGTCAGAACATGGCCAGGCCAATGGTTGTGAGGTCACAGAACACTGCCAACCTGAGCTGGCCAAGTAGGTTAACCAAAGGAAAAGGGCTAATCCTTGTATGTAGTTACCTCTCTATTCATAGATGCATGAAAAATTAATATCTCACTTCTCCAGATCTCTGATACCGCTGAGGACAAGCCGTGGTTAAGCACAAGCACAAAATAGGCTCATTTGTATATATAGATTTATCTATCTTTTAAAAGATGGTTACCCTGCCTTTCTCCTTAAAAAAGGAGCCAAAGCAGCTGAACATCCTTAAAAGATAATATTCAGTTCTTCCAAAAAACATATGCACTGTTTTATGAATGTGGGGTATTGAGCTTCTGTATTCATGATTCGAAAAGCCAGGAAAAGGCCTGAAATTGTGGCAAAATAGGGTCCCCTCATTGCCAACAGGAGAAAGGACGCCAAGCTTTACCTAGCAGAGGGCAGCCTGAATTTTGGCAGCACCCGTGGCAGCTGTCTAGAATGATGGCCCTTCTAGCGCAACAGGGTCCCTTCTAGGACAACAGTTCTAAGATGATGATGATGGCTAAGTTACTTCATTCTTTTCTGCATTCTCCATGTTCTTTTTTTGTTTTCAGACTGACACCTTAATGTTGCAATGTTGACAGATTTAAACCACTGAGCTCTCCAGCCAGCTCTACTACCATCTTGCACATCCTGTTTATTTCTTTAAAATGGTCCTTAATTTAAAGTTTCTAAAAATCTCAATTTTTTCCAGTGCAGAAAGCATGCACACTTGTTGTTATGGGCCATAGACTTACAGTGATCCTAACAGGGCTATTTAAAGTGTGGTTTTACCAGTTCCACACACCCCATGAGTTTTAATGGCTGAGCGGGGATTCGAACCCAGGTCTCTTGAGTCTCAGTCATTAATTTACCCACTGCACCACACGGGATATCACATATATGTACCTTTACACAACTGCTTGTGTGTCATGATTGTTCAGAACTGATGATAGGAACATGCAGACCAATTAACTTAAGACATATTGCAACACACTGGAAAAGAGAATATGGGGGGAATTTCTTCATGATCTGCTGAGAGTGCAGAAGTTATATGCAAATGTGTACAGAATGGTTTCTCATTTTACAAGTATCGCTGAAAGAAATATTTCCCATGCTTTTTAATGGGATAACAGTAATATTAATGGTGGGGGACTGAATAAATGGGTTTGGTTCTTTAAAAAGTTAATAATATGGCAAGGTTGTTCAGAAATATTTAAGTGGTGGCAAAACCAAGATGGCATTCCTTCTTGCTCCCTGCCTCCTGCTTTCTCTTTTGCAATAGCTGTTGCTCACTGGAAGGACAGATCCTGAAGCTGAGGCTCCAATACTTTGGCCATCTCATGAGAAGAGAAGACTCCTTGGAAAAGACCCTGATGTTGGGAAAGTGTGAAGGCAGGAGGAGAAGGGGACGACGGAGGATGAGATGGTTGGACAGTGTCATCGAAGCTACCAACATGAATTTGACCCAACTCTGGGAGGCAGTGGAAGACAGGAGGGCCTGTTGTGCTCTGGTCCATGGGGTCACAAAGAGTCGGACACGACTTAACGACTAAACGGCGACAAAGTCAATATTGAGTTGACAGTACCCAACAACAACACTTCTAAAATCCTCTTGAAGTCTGTGCTGAGTCCCAGCTGTTATGGTCTTGGAACTACAGCACAGACAGACACAAAGAGGGATGTGCTTTATTTCTTATTATAATGAGGCCTTCATTATTTCTTGCTACCCTTGAAATTGTCTTGTTGGAGAATAACAACTTTCAGGACAGCAGTAAGGCCCTGGAAGATAATGGCGATATGTTATGTGTTTTGTAGACATTACATCTACGTTGGCTTGGGCATGTCGTGAGAATGGCTGATGGTCGGATTCCAAAAGATCTCTTGTATGGAGAATTAGTGCAGTGAAATCGCTCCAGAGGGAGCCCACAGCTGCAATACAAGGATATCTGCAAGCAGGATCTGAAGGCCTTAGGAATGGACCTCAACAGACGGGAAACCTTGACATCTGAGCATTCAGCCTGGAGGCAGGCGTTGCATCACGGCCTCTCCCAATTTGAAGAGACACTTGTTCAGCAGGTCGAGGCAAAGAGGCAGTCCTGAAACCAGCAAAATCAGGGAGCTGGGCAGGGGATGTATTTGTCTTCAGTATAAAAAGGATTGTCACTCTCAAATTGGCCTTCTCAGTCACACTAGATGCTATTCCAAGTCCTCTATTCAGAACACATTACCATAGTCTCTCGAGACTGCAGGATGCCTGATCTAATCTATGTGTTTTGTTTATATATTTTCTAAAAAGCAAAGAATTTTGAAGAAAAATACTGACTAGTCTCTAAAGTAGAATGTATTCTCTGGTTTCCATGTTATTGCACTTGGCACCACGATTCCAGGCATCGTTCAAGTTGCAGATTTCAACAAAAGTGATCATCATCATCATCATCATCATCATCATCATCATCATCATCATCATCATCATAAAACTGAATCAAGCCTGTTAAGGAGGGAGAATGGGAAATCAAACAC